ATTGCTTACCTGTAGGCTATGCAGTGGGAAGATACCAGGTGAGGTATCTGCATTCGCATACGAGTCACCAACCCGCTGGTGGCGCCCATCATGACGGCAGCGCCGTCCGTGCTGATGCCCGAGATCTTCTCAGGAGCCACTCCGATCTTCGACAAGTGATCCTGAATGAGGGCATGAATAGAGGCTGCATCGCATTGGTCTAGCGTCAGCAGTGCTAGGAATTCTGTTACCACATGGCCGTCACGCAAAAACGTGGCAAAGAGGATTAGATGTTTCCCCCTGGTGCGATCGGTCGACTCGTCGCAGGAGAGACCGATAAATGGGCTCGCGTGCACGTGGCGCATCTGTGAGTTGTGCAGCCACGCTGTTGTGCAACGCATCAGTTGAGCGAAACCGTACCTGCCATGTACAAGGTGGGAAGGGGCAGATGCGGTAAACGCACATGGTGAAAGGACGTAGGTTGTCAGTATTCGAAAGAGCATGTTACCGTGTGTGGAGTTAAACAATAGAAAGACATCGGCACAACTGCACCTGAATCAGCACGCAAATGAACTCACGTTGTATAGTACGTCCCGTAACTCTTCTTTGGGAAGCCAGGACATTTCCGCTTCGATAGGAACCGTACCAACTTCACCCATGTCCCAATCGGCGCGTCACACTGGCAGATGAAGTGGAGGACCCACAGGAGCGCAATTATTCTCCCCTTCTCCAGATCTGTAGCTTGTGGGAAGTCGGAGATCTTCTTCTGCTTCACAGCATCCTCCAACGCCTTTCTCTGTGACTTGATGCAGGCCTTGTGTCGTGTGGTGCGAGCGTGCTTCTTCATCGCCTGAGTCTGCACGTCCATGGCGCCCTCCCCATCTCGACCGTACCTGGTTCCGACCACACCATGCTCAGAACAAACACTGCATTTGAGAGAGGGGAGGCCGGTTTTAGTACGACAAAGCTGCAACCATGGAAACCTCTCATGCCAGTCAGCCTTAAAACTTTGCAGTGCTTGAAGATATAACAGATCAGCAACCTCGCTAAACTCCTCATCTGGGTGAGCAGAATGTTGAATGCGGGACTCCAGTGGCGACGCGGTAGATGGGCTGGCAGTTGGGGTGGCAGCCACTGGTGGGGTTGTTGTCGAACGGTTAAACTGTTGTTCCACATGGCCGCTGGACTGTCCCGGAGATGACGACACCACTGGCACAGCACATGTCTGTCGGTGCCTTCTTGACCGCACAGTTGCTCGTGCTGTCGCGAAGGTAACAGCGGCGGGATGGTTGTCGACAACGGTCGGCAACCGGAAGCTGAGTACCGCCTGGCGATACGTCCGTTTTGGCGGGGACGTCGATCCCCCATTCTCGACGTCAGCAGAGTTGGTGGCGGGACCGCCCTCGTCGTCCCCCACCCCACCATGTGACGGCAGATTTCGACTGGCATCACACCTTGAGCCCCGTGGCAGCGACGAACATGCGGCGTCCCGTGATGGACTGCGCGCCGACGGCGACAGGTGAGCGGCGTTGCGCCTTGAGCTGGGCTGGGACGGTGGCTGGTGTGCAGCGTCACGCGATGGGCTGCACGGCGATGGCGACAGGCAAGCGGCACCGCGCCTTGGACTGTGCTGCAACAGCGACGAGGGAGCAGCCTCGCGCCTTGGGCTGCGCTGCGACGGCGAAGATCGAGTAGCGTCGTGGGGCGGGTTGCGCTGCGACGGCGACGACAGGGCCGCACCGCGAAGCGGGCTTCGGTGGTGAGGTGGCGACAGAAGAGCATCTCGATACGGGCTGCTAGGGAGAGGCGGGAGCGGAGATTCGTCGCGAGGCAGGCTTCGCAGCAGCGGCATGTGATCGGCACCTCGCGTCGGGCTACGGTGCAGTGGCTGCGAGGTCACAGGGTCTCGGTAAGGGCTGCGAGGGGCCTCTCGTGTCCGAGCAGCTACTCGTGGTGTACTGCGAGGGGGTGGCAGCAAACTCGGCGCAACTCGCGGCGAGCTGGTCTGCGCCGGCGTTGAACTGCCTGTCATGTTCACTGGGCTACGCAACTGAGGAAATTCTCGAGCAGGATCACGCGCGGGACTGCTAGGCAGTGGCGGGAATGGATCGATCCGCGTGTCATCCGACCGCCACCTGTTCGATATTGCTATGGGACGAACAAGGAGATCCAGTGCCGACTGCAGGCCTGGCTGAGCGCCCGCTTGCCCTAACGTCGCCTTAGGGCTGCGGCGTCTCGACCCCTGCAGCTGCCACCCCTCGTCATCGCTCATGACGGGGGTGAGGAACGAGAGGAGGCTAAACTAGAGAGGCCGAGATACGACTCCGAGAAGCTTGTCTAACGTGCTGCAAAACCAGTGTGCGAAGAGCACAAACCAGCCTGCAAAGAAAGGCATGAAACAGGTGGTCCCCCCAGAACCGATATGCCAAGACGCATAACGTCGTGATGCTAAGGCAGATGCATTCTTGGTGCTTCTGCTTGTGAGTGCGGCTTGGTAGAAACTGCAGCAGCTCTTTGACGATTGGTCGAAGTTCAGTAAAATTCGTCAAGGTCCAATCACGGCAGAGACTCATGTTCCAGCACAACTTCATTGCTGCATGTACATTCGGCTAAGGACCACACACAATGCTCCTCACACGTGCTCTATCGCGACTCCATTTAGACTCGTGATTTTGGTCAAGGACCAATCACACGCCCCTCACATGCGCTCCAGCATGCATACTGCGGGCACCGCTCCAACCGCGTTTTCCGGGGTTTGGGGGGGGGGGTGTTCGGTCTCAGGCCGAAAATTCTCTAAGGCTGATTAATCAGGCTACACGTAACTAGAACATACTATAAATCAGGCCTATCAAAATAAGAGCCCCTAAAAATCAGGAAAATCGAAACCCGAAAAAACAGGCCGACCCCTGAAAAAAACCTTGATATACAGGCTTTCAAGCCTTTTTGGCCTGACTTCTGAGGCCCTGCCCTGAACTCATTTTGACCTCGTCACCCTCGGGACTATCGAGCCCTTGACTGGTCCAACCCTCGAAATTCAACCCTTGTCAACACACCTATATATTGCCTAGGCCTCATTATTGTGGACATTCTGTAATCACTTTCCCCTATAGTATTCTACGCTATACTCTGAGTTATAATTCATAACAGTTATGAGTGAGAAACAATCGACTGAGTTATGGAAATCTAACCTCGGAGTAATAATTGATTCAGCAGGTGACGAGCGAACTGGCTAAAGTAGGGCTTGTACGTGCTAGGGCGATAACCTGGGGACGTGATGCGGCTTGGAAGGGTGGCGTGGTTGTCCGAACCCGACTCGGAAAGGTTTGGGCCGAGACTCGAGGCCGAACCTGCGAGTTCGAGGTCTTCGGGTGTACGCGCGCTGTAACTTAGCGCAGTAAGGAATTGTAATTCCTTACAGTATGGCTCTGCTCTTGTTTGACTGGGGGGCGGGGGGGGGGGGGGGGGGGGGGTGGGGGGGGGGCGATTTCTTGTGTGAGCCGTGGCGAAGCTTTTCCGGTTTGCGAACAAGCAAGCTGGTTTGGCTTTGTTTCGCAATTCCAATTTTCATTCTCCGATCCCTCGCCACAGTCGCAGCCAATCGAGGGCCACTCGCCCTGCCGCCCAAAAACCTCGAGTGACTGACTCGGGCAACAAGGGTGTGATATCTTCGGTTTGTGGCCTGACTGTTGCACTTCGTAACGCCCGCATCTTCACGAGACGGGGAATCTTGCTCCGGACTGTTGCACTCCGTCGTGTATCGCTCAGCGCTTGGCGAAGAGGAGAATCATGCAGAATCTCATGGTGGCGAACTGCAACTTTGAATGTCGTTCGTACGTAACGCTCGCATATCTTCCAGAAGGAAATCCTGCAGAATTCAACGTTTTTGCATGTTTCTGCCACGTATTTTCTTCCTGCCTTGCCCGGAAACACCACATTCTCCTTTCCACGCCATCCAGAGTTGTGACTGAGGTCGCTTCCTCGCAGCACCCTACTCAACCGTCAGAGGAGTAGACGGGAACGCAAAGCATCGTTTTTAAACGCTCGGTCTCTCCTTGGTAAATGGAGCTTGTGTCAGTGCAAGCAACCAATGGCGAAAGTGACATTGTAGAGATGTTGCATGCAGAGAGCCGCGATTCGTTGTGACTGGATCCGGGTCGCATGACGCGCCTCGCCTCCCTCTCCACAAACCCGCCACAGTTTCTCAGCCTTGAGTGGTTACGCATTTCGCAAGCCCTTTTCCAGGAAGATACTTTTCGTTAACTGATTACTTCGTGTGTCGCGTCCCTCCAGATCCTGCCTCTCTTTCCCCTGCCTGTTGAACTCCTCCCATTTCACTGCCTGCCTTGGCTTGCAAGTTTCCACTGCCTGTCTGTGGGACCACACCGCACAACACCAGAGACCAGATTCACACCCCACGCATCCACGACAACACTCGTGCAAGGAGCAGCATTTCGTAAATGACCGCGTATGCCTGGAGGATGCCTCCCGCCTGCTGTGACCTGCAGAAATTCCTTTTTCTCGCAACTAGATACGACACGTCTCGGTGACGGCCACGACGAGTTGACGTCACGCGTTGCTACACTACACTACTTACAGCACTGTACAGTACAGAACCCCCTTACCTCTCTGCCTTACAGCCTGCAGCCCGTTCATCCTGCAGAGTGTGGCTGTGAGAGCCGAGCAAGGAAGAAGCAAGGAAGCATTAGACGTGCGCTTCTGAGAGTCGTCGAGCCATCACCTAACCGAGCAAGGGGGGAGAAAGAGTACGAGCAGTCACAGCCTGTCTCTTCTCCACCCCTGCCAGCTAAGCCGGCAAACGCGGCGGTCACAGCCTGTCTGTCGTCCTCTGCAACTAAGCTGCAAGCCAGCTGTCATTTTGTCTCAAAGTCTCTCACGCCTCCTGCTTCCAGCTGGCAGCTCGTTTCTTTTTAGACTCGCGCCTTGATTTTTATCGTACTGTACGAACGGCCTATGGAGTCACCTCAGTGGTTTAGTCCCTGAGTGAGTACTCAAAACAGGAGCACAACTCGAGTATAAATCGGGGAATAGTCGGTCGGGACGTGGGAGGAACACCGATCGCCGCGGTCGGCTGGCAGCAAGCCACAGCCGAAGCAGCAGCCGACGTAGCAGCCCCAGAATCTCGTCGTCCTTGGATCAGATTCTAGACAGCAACAGCGCGGCATGCGAGGGAGTTAGCAGCATGCGGAGTAACAGGACCTCGTTTTACTCTGCGAATATTCCGCTCATTTAGGCAAGCCGCTGACAGTCCAGACCGAAGCCGCCAAGTGGCGAACCCACGGTCCAGTGGCTTTCCTTTCAATGCCTCTCCCTGCCGCTTGCCACGTCATGCACACCGCAAGTGACCGACTCTCCTAAGATTAGGCCCCCTGGAAGCCAGCTTCGGATATTACTAGGAGCTTCCTATGAACTTAGCTTCAGGTTGTCCTGACAAAGCATCCCCCGGCAGAACGGCTTTGTTTGGAGAGAGAAAAAACTGAAAGCCACTTGTTCTCCTGAGTCTCTCTACGCACAGACGCAAGCGCCTTTCTCTCCGTTGGAATTTTAGCTTCGGTGGGGCGAGAAGCGAGAGACAGATTTGATACCCTGACGAGTCCAGTTAGTCGCTCGCGTCAATGGCTTCCTCGTCGATTCATCTGGAGAACACCCACCTTCAGCCGCCGGCGCTGCTATCATTGAGACCAACGGCTATACCGCTTTCTTTCTCGCCTCCCAATGGCGCAAGAGGCTCGAGGGGGATCATCCCCCCGACGGGGATCGCTATTCTCCGTGGCGGGGAGAAGCCCCGGAGCGGTGCCTGCGCGGAAACCTGCGCGGAGTCCGCACGCGCGGAAGATCGCCACGCGCGGAGTGGCAGTGGACCTTACGCAGGCTCTTCCCGCGTCTGCGCAACGATTGGCTCCCCGGCGTCGGGGAATAATCAACACTCTTCCCCCCCCGAGAGTGCCACCGCCTCCCCCTCAGCTCCCCCCAAGTCCCGCATTTCTTCGCGCGCCCAGATGCGCGCCGAGCTGGAGGCCGTGCTGCAGGGGGACTCCCCCGCGGAGCCCCGCTCTTCACCCCGGGGGAAAGCTTCCCCCTCAACCCCCCGCGTGATCTCCGCCGCCTCCGCCTCCGCCTCAGCCCTCCGCAACTCCCGCAATTCGGTCTTTGAGTCGCCTGTAACGCGCAACTCCCGCAATCCTCCGCGCTGCGCAATGGAGGCGCTCGAGCTGGAGGCGCTGCAGGGGAAGCTTCGTATCTTGGATACGCAGCGAGAGCTGAGCGCCGTCCGATGCGCGGAGTTCGTCAACCTGATCCAACGGTCGTGGCCGTCTCTCGAGGAATGCAAGCGGAACGAATCGACGAACCCAGCAGCTTCGGGTGCTCCCGGGCCTGAGCTTCGGCAATCTCCCGAGCTCCGGCAAGCCGAGCCTGGCAGATCCGGTCTGCTGCCGTCACGGAGGGAGTATCATGGAAGAGAGACTACTACTACAATTACTACTAGCAGTGGACCGATCCCTAGATCGAGATCCGCCGTTTGCTGCTCCGCCATACATCGTTGCGGTAGCGGTGCAGCGTTGGAGGGATCGGAGTCTCTCAAGACACCTGGTAGCGGTACTACTGGTACCGGTACAACCGATAGCAGCAGCCATACTACTGCTGCTGCTAATCTGAAGAAGGACCTCAGCTTCTACGAAGATTCTCGATCTAACGGGACTAACCCTAAACGCGGTTTGCGCCGCGGTTCTCCTAAATCTGGGTCTCGGAGCGCCGAGTTTCCGCTGCAGTCTACACTCGAATCAATGGCGCTGGATTCTCTGTGCGAATCAACGACTCTCGATTCGCTCCGGTGTGGGAAGGACTCGTCGCAAACGGGATCGCTGGCGAAAGGGTCGCAGTTGACGTCCGTCGCACGGGACGGAACGAGCAGGAGGAGTTCTCGCGGAGTGGATTTTGAAGCTACGCGAAATCTGCCTGGTTACCGCGAGCGGAGGTTGGGGAGATCTTCGCTGAGGCGCCACGTCAGCGTGAACAGCAGCCTAGACGCGTTCGCTACGGCCGGTTGATTCGTGGAAGGAGTAACCGCTAGCAGCCTACTCCCTGGCGGATCAAGTGATTCGTCGCAGCCGCGTTCGCCGGATTTGCACTCGCCGGGCGGCATAGAAAAGGGTGCTACGATGTACTCCCTATGCCATGGTCCCACAGCAATCGTCGTGCAATGGCTATCCCAATGCCCTGGTAATCCCAGTGCCATGGTAGTCCCAGTGCCATGGTAGTCCCAGTGCCATGGTAATCCCAGTGCCATGGCAATTCCATTGCCATGGTATTCCCAGTGCCATGGTCCCATGGTAATCCCAACCCCGTAGTAAAACCCCCAATACCCTGTTCATCCCACTGACATGGTGCTCCCAACGCCAGGGAATCCCTATGCTATGGTATCTCCAATACCATGGTCCCATAGCGATCCCAAACCCATAATAATCCTCCCAGCGCCCTGGTACGGTAGTCCCAACAGAAAGGTAATCCTATTGCCAGCATAGTATCCCTTTCCACTGCCCTTATTATCTCATGCTCCAAATAGCCAAGGGATTGTTGGTGGTACTATACTATGTATCTGTAGTTCAGCAAGTGGCCTCACAGAGCAACTGACCTGTTTGGCCAGAGGAGGACTGCAAAAGGCAGGGGGGATATCAGTCTTGGCTTCATGTACCCATATGTTTCAAACACAAATCATATATTCAATCTGTAATAATTAGTATAGCGGTGCAGAAGACTAGTATGAAATATGTAGACACAAGTACTTGAAGGAGAAAAGAATCTTAGAACTCAAAAAGTTTGACTAGAATGTGAGAGTTCAGGGAAATATATCCTAGAGTGTTGAATCCTCTACAGCACAAACCAATATTGTCTATACTAACGTACTTAGATATGTTTGACACACCCCCTAGACGATATAGGGGCAGTGCCTAATAGGACAACAAGAAGCTCAGGGCGGCACTATTAGTCCAGCCTGTGAGGCAAGGGTCTAGAGACCAGTCAAAGAAGTACAACTACAACAAGAACAAGACCAGGGAGGCACTACTAGTCCAACCACTGGGAGGGGCCACAAGGCCAATCAGGGTAACACATATATATAAAGGTCTATACACAATCAAGGCCCTAGCATGTGAGAGGCAACAAGAACAAGACCTAGCTGTACGCAATGCCGCTGATGATCTTTAGGCGCAAGTGCCTTCGTAAAGATATCAGCTGTGTTGGCACCGGAGGCCAAGTGTACTACACGGGCCTGGCAGCGCTGCTGTAGCTCGCGAAGGAGGAAGGACTGCAGCTGGATGTGCTTCGCTCTGCCCTCAAGTCGAGGCTCCTGACACAGGAGGATCATGGCCCTGTTGTCAGCGTACAGGACTGGGGCAGAGCTAGACCGCTCACCTAAGTCGGTGAGCAAGAAGGTCAGCCAGCGGAGCTCCTGTGCCGCCATGGCACCGGCGTAGATCTAGGCCTCACAGCTGGACTGGGCAATAGACGAGGAGCGAGTAGCTCTCCACGAGACAGCACCTGAACCAAGGCTAAAGCAGTAGCCCTGCGAAGACCTAAGGGTCTCGGCGTCGTCTGCCCACGAAGCGTTTGTGTGCCCAGTAAGGACCACTTGTCTGAAACTAGGATCTAGGTAGGAGGAGGAGCCATGGATGGCATGAGGTTTTAGGCTAGGAAAGTTGGTGAGAGAAAAGAGAATTAGGAAAGAAGAGAGGGGGATTCAAAGAGGGGTGTTGTACCCTCTACAGTAATGTTCAGTAACATCTAATCTACCAAGCCTACACATTATATAACTCAATATATAATTTAACACACCCCCTAGGCTTGGTAGCAAGGACCCACACACCCCCAGACCCCCTAACCTAGCACCCCCATTCCCATCAGCCACAACGACTCCAACAGGGCCAACCACAAGGCCTTGGAGATGGCGACGGCGGCAGTCCCGGTAGCGGCGACAGCAACGGCGACGGCGGGCACGCGGCGGCAACAGGCCTGCGGCGACAACAGCGGCGACGGCGACGGCTTCGGCTTACGATGGCGGTGACGGCAGCGGCCCCCGCCCTTCCGGCGGCGTGTCCAAACTCCGCACCAGGGGAATGACCGGCGAGAGTCAGACGGCGGCTGTGGCGAAGAGGAGGGGACAGAGGAATGGGGGAAGGGGCGGGGCTTCGGATCTTGAGCGCGGCGCCATTGCTGGCGCCGCGCTTACTGGCGTGCGGGCGGGCTGCATTTCCAGCAGCGATACAGGTGCGCGCCGGTACTAGGCCGACGTTGCAGCCACGGCACAACGACGGCGCCACCACAGCGTGGTGCCGTCGCCGCAGCTGCTCGTCAACGCTGAGACGTCGGCACGCAAAGGCCGCCGCGGCATCTTGGAAAAGGTGCCACGTCGGCAGGCAGTAGGAAGGCCGCCACAGCGGCGCAATAAGGACGGGTAAAATGCGCGGCGGAAGCGACGGCACGACAGCGCGTCGAGACGGCCGCGGCAGGACGCGGCCAGCGGCACAACACGGGCGCCATGGCAGCGCGAGAAGCGTGAGTAGGCGGTCCAGCAGGGAGGACCTCCTGCTCTGATACCATGTCTGAAACTAGGATCTAGGTAGGAGGAGGAGCCATGGATGGCGTGAGATTTTAGGCTAGGAAAGTTGGTGAGAGAAAAGAGAATTAGGAAAGAAGAGAGGGGGATACAAGGAGGGGTGTTGTACCCCCTACAGTAATGTTCAGTAACATCTAATCTACCAAGCCTACACATTATATAACTCAATATATAAGTTAACACCACTGACCTGCGCCCTCCTAGCACTAACCCCATGCCCGATGTACTTGCAAGTTAACGCAAAACCCTCTTAGCGGCATACCAGTGCTGAGGTCGGTGTATGCCTATGGCCAAAAAGCGACCAGTGCAGTGCCTCTGCAGCAGCAGTCACCGCCGGTGTCAGCCCTTCGCTTGCTCGGCCTTACCTTCCCTGACCCTGCGTCTGTTCCTCTCCGGCCGTCCTCTCCCTGACCCCACTCCTGCACCCCAAGAAGGAACACCCCCAGAGCTCGAAGCCCCTCGAGCACCGGTACCACCCCCAGGCCCACCGGGACAAGCCACGACAGGAACCCCAAGACTAGTACCCACCCCAACACCAGCACCCCAAGAGGCAACGAACTGCTGCGACGACGGCTGCAACGACGACGGCTGCAGCAACGGCTGCGGCGGCGGCAACGGCGACGGTGGCTGCAACAGCGGTGGCGACGACAGCTGCAGAGGTGGCGGAGGAGGAGACACCTGGGGAGGGGAAGGCGGCGAGGACTGCGCCGCAGGACCACCAGAGTCAGCAGACTCCTCGTCCGGGACAACCGACGTGAGGGGGGTGACATGGGACACACTAGACGGTGCACGACGGGGAGGGGGGACAGGGGCGACTGAGGAAAGGGTGACCAGGAACAGGGGGGGAGTAACCGGTGAGCAAGGCAGCCCCAAACGTGGAACGCAGGCGCGTGACCAGGAGACCCTGTCCAGAGAAGGGTCGACGAAACCTGCGGCTGCTGGGGGTGCGGCCACAGGTTAAGCTGGTGAGCGGCGTAGCGAACGGCCACAGAAAATGGGGTGCACCGGCATGGATCATGGAGGTACGAGCCACCTCCATGACCAAACCGATGCGTTGCTCAGCGACCCCATTCTACTGCATGGAGTCCGGCAGGGTGAACGTCTGGGTGATGCCCTACGCACGACAGAAACGACCAAGGAAACCAGAGGCGAACTCGCCACCACGGTCGGAGTGGAGTCGCAAGACAGGGAGGCCGTGGTGGACACGAGCAGAGACAAGCCACGGGATGAGAACGCCAGGCACGTCGGCCTTCCGCTCCAGGGGAAAGTCTGTGGTGTAGCGGGTGTAGTCGTCGACAAGAAATAAGCAGTAGCGCTCTCGACGAGGCCCATGGACGGGGGCGAGGCCCCAGACGTCCATGTGCAGGGCCTGTAGCGGTGCGGCGGTGGGGGGGAACGAGGAGGAGTGAGGGGCACGACGGAGCCGGCCCTTGACACAAGGCGTGCACGGTGGTGCTGGGGAGGAGGGCAACTCGGGGAACGACCCTGGAAGACCTAGGACGAGACCGTGCTGGAACATGTGACGCAGACGCGGGAGGGCAGGGTGACCTAGACGGTGGTGCCATAGGAGTGTCGGGTGAGTGAGCGACCGACAACAGGCAGCAGCAACCTGGGTAGACGCAGCCACCTGAGGGGACGTCCCAACCCGGGGGGTCGCTGTGTCCAGTGTGAACAGTCCGGACACCGGGTCCTGGGGGAACGTGGCGAGGGGGGCACCAGTGGCGGTCTCGGTACAGACAGCGTACCGCTCGTGCCCAGGGAACGTAGTGGTGACGCCAAGGTTCTGGAGGCAGCCGACACCAACTAGGTTCTTGGAGAACAAGGGGATGTGCAGGCCTGTTAGCTGCGGGCGTGGGCGTGGGGCCAAGGGGGGGAAGAGGGGGGGCGGGTGCGAGGATGCGACGACGAGCAATGTTGGCGGGGCCCTCACCGTTGTCATTTTCGGAGTCGTCGCTGTCATCGGGATTATTAGCGGGTGCAGGAGTTGGTGCCGCGGGCTGGTCGTCGGCGCGGGGAGCCTTGGGCGCGCGAGGATGGGTAGCCATTTCTTTCTTTTTGTTGAAATTGATCGTAGGCGCAGCATTATTGGAATAGGTTTTGACTGTAACAGCACAAGCTTGCTGCTGTAACAGCGCCAAAAGCGCTTGCAGCTGGTGTGTAGTCAAGGCGGGGACGGCGGCGGTTGGCGCGGGGTCAGCGACAGGCGCGTGCTGGGTGGTGGGGCCCGCCTGGCCTGCAGGCGACGCGACTCGGGCTGGCGCGTGGTGTTCCGTTGACATCATGCGCGGCTGCTTTGCAGCCGTGCATGCTTCTTTTGCAGCCGAGCAGAATCTCGAATGCCGAGGGGCCCTCGCCGAAATTGTCCTCGGCAGGACGTTTCTGACGACGGTCGGTTCCTTCGGGCGAAGTTCTGATGGCCGGGGCGTTAGCGAGGGTAGAAATGTTGTTCCCCGCGCGATCCGGAGCAGAATTGGCGGAAGTCATAGTGGCGATATTGTGCTGCAGAATGTCAGTGAGGAGCGTTGTCGGGGCTTTGAAGCGCGGAAGAGACTGGGTTTTCGCCAGCTTGGGTGATAACAAAGAGACTAGAACTAGGACGAGAACTGGAAAACGAAACTGGAACTAGAAATGAAGAATGTGGGTGAGTCCGAGTGGCCTCACATCCCCCTTTTGTAGGCAAAAGAAGGTGAGTAACGCTTCGACGATGTCTTTGCTGCGTTGGCCCTCGCTACACTTTCACAATACACATTTTTTAGAAAACGTTACACGCTTCCAAAAAACTACATTTATAGGCTTGGTAGATGTTACTGGATCCTACTGTAGAGGGTGCAACCCCCCTTGTTGTATCCTTCTCTTCTAGTCCGAACTCTCTTCTCTCTCGTCAATTTCTCCTAGCCTAAAACCTCACGCCATTTCCATGGCTTCTCTACCTTCCTAGCTACCTAACTACTTTTACATGGTATCAGAGAAGGTCCGTCTGCTCGGGCCTGCTCATCACGCATCCGCAAAGTCCGCTCCTCCCTCCTGTCCTTTCCGCACCGCCGCCACGGCCATGTCGTGCTGCCGTGATGGCGTCTACGCGCTAGCGCGCGGACGGCACGGACGGCAGCGGCCAAAGCTCGGTCTTAGCGCTGGCC